GTGGTGCGATCTCAGCTCACTGCAACCTCCACCTCCTGGGTTCAAGGGATTCTCGTGCCTCAGCTTCTTGAGTAACTGGGGTTAGAGGTGTGCGCCATCACACCTGGCTAATTTTTGTAATTTTTTTTAATACAGACAGGATTTTGCCATGGTGGCCAGGCTGATCTTGAACTCCTGACCTTAGGTGATCTGCTAACCTCGGCCTCCCAAAGTGCTGGGATTAGAGGTACGAGCCACCACGCCTGGCTCCCTCATTGCTTTTAAATCATTTTCTTAATGTAATATATTTATTTCAAAAAAATTTTCAAATAATTTAATGAGATTCCTTGTCCATTCCTTACATCAAAAAAAAATGTGATTTTGATTGAAGTTCTATTATAAGTAGTTTTTAATAAAGAGATTACTGGCATGGAAAATATGTAATCTTGGAACTTGTTGTATCTCCACTTATTCAATTCATTGTCTCTCAGTAGATTTTGAATGGCTCTTTATCCCACACAAGTCTAGAATCATTTCGCTAAGTTTATTCCTAGACATAACTTGCTAATTGATATGGGAATCTCTTTAACTCCGTTATGCCTTCTTCTTGGATGTAGACATATTTATAACCAGCTTCCTCGCTGCATTTTTTGATTAGGCCTAATGGCTTTAAGTTTATTACTTTGGATTTTACAAAAAAAAAAAAAGTGATAACACCTTTAAATAGTTACAGTTTCAGATCCTCTTCTCCCCTAACCATCAATTACTGTCTTTTATTTCACTTTTCTTATGTATTGACGAGGATGTCTAGAATAATTGAATAGTATGAGTAATTGGTAATAGGTATTCTTGAGCTGTTTTTGGAAATCCTTCTGGATTTCAGTAATGAGTATGATGTTGGCACTTGGTTTAGTATCTTTAAATTTGCACTTTACAAGATGTTTTACTTTGCAATAGTCATTGAATTGTTAAGTAAAGCACAAACGTGAAATTCAGACTAAAGTGCAGGACTTCAATGAAAAGTGAAAAGAGTTTATTTCATCACTTTCATTATTTCTTTCTCTCAGTAGCTGTTTGCCCCCTCTCACTTCTGGCTTGCTTCCTTTTGTGCTATTATTGTTTTAGGTTTGACTACATAAGAAGAAACTATAAATTTATATGTGGTACAAGATCATAACTAATATTATAAAATTAGCCTAGAAGAAGTGATTTGCAATGTATAGAATAAGGGAATAATTTCAAGATTATTTGAAGGGCTTTAAGAATTGGTAAGAAAAAAATAGACAACCAGTTAGAATAAGGCAAAGCATGTGTAGAGGCAACTCTTAAAAAAAAATACGAAAGTGAGATGGGTCAAATGGTGCACACCTGTAGTCCCAGCTACTAGGGAGACTGAGGCAGGAGGATCACTTGAGCCCAGGAATTCAGGGCTGTAGTGCACCATGACCATGCCTGCAAATAGCCACTCCACTCTAGGCTGGGCCAGCATAAGAAGATTCTGTCTTAAAAAAAAAAAAAAAAAGAAATGGAAAGATATTCAGTTCTGTTGTTTCACTAGTTGATTTTTGGAAAACACCCACAAATATAACCAAGCCCACAAGTTAGGTGGGTAAATGATACATTTTATCTATATGCATTCAGCAATGTGAAGCAGATGCCAAGCAACACCCCCATGTGGAAGACAAGCTTCCTTAAACTTCATAGGACACTATTTTCCATGTAGTCCATCAGAGTGAGCATTTTTCATGACCATTGGTAAGCCTGCTTGCTGTTATTCTTGAAGGCAGAGGAAGGGTGTAAGACCTCCCTGGTCTCTTCCAAGTGTTCTGGGGACGTTGGCCATAAGCCTCCTTGCTCAACAGGTGCAAATAACTGGTCATAAGTTGACCAGATGCAAGTGTATCACTGATGATTTGCTCTTACTGAGTTTGGTTTCCTTTGTATATAATGCCATACTATTCAGCTTTTGATTTGTAATATATTCTTCCTTAAAGGAATCGGGACTTCTTGAGGAATCCAGATGAAGTTGAAACACTATGTTTTTATAAGAGAGTAAGGCTGCTTTCAAAGACATCTATAGTTTGTAACAAAAGAACTAGATTGAAGGGACTTTGTTTAGTCTGTGACAAGTATGAGTATTAAAATGAAACAAGAATTTTTGTTAATGTAACTTTATAATATGATCAGGAGGAACAAACAATCTAAAATGTGTTAAAATAGCATTTTCAAAGTGTGGTCCAGGGACTCTCAGGGTTGGTGACATCACAAGTTTTCATAATATTGCTAAAAATGTATTTCAATCTACTTCTCTCCAAGGATATGGTGGAGTTTTTCAGAAGTTATGGAATGTGTGGTAATAGCCTTGTCCTAATGGAGTGTGTGCTTTGTGCTTTGCATTTTTGTCCTTTACAAACTCCTGGTTTTAATTTTGAATAGAATAAGTATAGAAAGATATAACCTACATAAACCAAAGTTATTTGCGGCCCTCAGTCTTTAAGGGTACATGGTGGGGCCTGAGACTAAAGAGTCTGGGAACTGCTGCACTAGAGAAAAGTTTTACTGATGTCCGTTAAACAATGCGTATTTACTGACCAGGGGAAGGGCAAACCATTCCTTTTCTAAAGACATGCAGAGCATTTCATAAAATACTTTAACTTTACCGATTAAATGGTGAGAGACCTGTTAAATTGATTCTTTGTGGGTGTTGAGTTTTAGGTCACTGGCTAACTCTAGAAGTGGACCAGGAGAAAACCTGAAATGTGAGTCTTCTACGAAATAAAAGGCCTGAAAATGCTTAGCATTACCCTATCCCATGACTACAATAATTGAGAAAAAGCCTTCTCATTTTGCTCCCCCTCCCGGTTCCCCCTTTCTCCCATGTTTCCCTCCTCCTCCCCGGCTTTTGCTTTTCCTTCCTCCCTTCCTCCCCCACCCCTCTTATTGAGCACAGGAACATCCTTACTCCAATTGAAAGATAACATTGTTTGTACTTAAAGGGCTCAAAAGCTGAGAGTCTCTGCTTTCTGTTATTTTTAGTACTTGAGTCATTTCTGTATCTGTTTCTACTGATAACTTTTTCTCCTATTTTGGTTCATATATTTTCTGCTTCTTTACGTGTCTAGTGATTTTGGATTAGGTGAGTGATACTGTGCAGAGTTGCTGGATTTAAAAAAAAAATTTCTGTAAATATTTTTTGGCATTGTTCTAGAATGTAGTTACCTGGAAACAGTGTCATCCTTTTGAGAGGCTTGCTTTTAAGCTTTGTTTGGTGGAATCACAGCAGCCTTTAGTCAGCTCACTAATGGCATCTGAATTTTCATGTTTTTCCCCTTTGGCTGGTGGGAACACCTGTGTCATCTCTGAGTATTGTTCTGTTAATTCTTTCAGTAGTTCTTACCTGGTTTGACACATCTACTGGTCAGTACTTTCAGCTAAAGTCTCAAGGGGATATCTGCAAATCTAGAGTTCACTGTTCACCTTATCTTCTGTAGTAAATTGCACAGTGTGGTCTTAGTCACCTTGGCCTTCCTAAACCCAAAGTTCTCCTTTACTCAGGGAGACCACCAGGCCCCACCAGGATTCTTGTGTCTGTCCTGTGACCTGGAAACTCTCAGCAGGCAATAGTCTGGGGCTATCATAGGGTTCACTTTGTTTTCCCCCTCTTCAGCTTCACTGTCCTGTGCAACCTGATGTCCATTGTCTGAAAACTGCTGTTTCATGTATCTTATGTGCTTTTGTGGTTTTAGGTGAAAGGTGAAACTAGTTTCTATTATCCCATGTTGGCCAATGCAGAAGATTTGGAAGTCTTTTTTTAATGTCTAAAACACATCCACTTTGAGAGTCAATTGAAATGATCTTTTCCACAATAATTATTTTCTGACCGATAGTTTAAAGATAAGTCATGAAAATTTAATGCCAGTATTTTTTTTAAGTCTGATTATGGATAGATTCAGGGAGCTATTTATTTCCTTTTAGATTCACAGAGTTTATAATATTTCCTGCTCACAATAATTGTATTTCTGCTTCCTTTTTGTATGTGTTACTTTAATGGGAATGTATATTTCCTTTTCATTAAGGCTGCCTTCAACAATTTGTCATAAATTCACTTCTGTTAGTGAATTCTATCTACTATTTTTTCTGTTTCTTTATTTTATCCTTAGTACCAAAAAGCTCCTCATGTGATACCAATTTATTACTAAAATGTCTCTCTGTTTATGTTATTGGAATTCTTCATAAATTGACTATCCTCCGATGTTGAATGTTGTAGGCCTGTGTGGAAGGGACTGTCTTCTATTTATTCTATTTTTAATCTAATTCTTGACAAAATAAACCCAATTTTTTTTTTCTTTTTCCCTTTCCGTCTCATATAGGGACTGGCATAAAGGGCAATCCATAAAATTACAAATGATAAAGGTATTTTTTGGTTTCAACTATTATTCATACACTTAAGATATAGACACATTTTTTTCTTAGCAGTAGTTCATTTTATTTTTTAACTTTTATTATTATTATTTTTTGAGACAGAGTTTCGCTCTTGTCACCCAGGCTGGAGTGCAATGTCGCGATCTCGGCTCACCGCAACCTCCGCCTCCTGGATTCAGGCAATTCTCTTCAGCCTCCTGAGTAGCTGGGATTACAGGCATGCACCACCATGCACAGCTAATTTTTGCATTTTTAGTAGAGATGGGGTTTCACCATGTTGACCAGGATGGTCTCGATCTCTTGACCTCATGATCCACCCGCCTCAGCCTCCCAAAGTGCTGGGATTACAGGTGTGAGCCACCGCACCCGGCCTATTTTTTTAACTTTTAGGTTCAGGGTTACACGTGCAAGTTTCTTATATAGGTAAATTTGTGTCATGTGGGTTTGTTGTACAGATTATTTTATCAGGCAGGTATTAAGCCTAGTACCCATTAGTTATTTTTCCTGATCCCTTCCCTTCACCCACTTTTTACCCTCTGGTAGGTCCCAATATCTGTGGGATACAATGGTTTTAATTGAAAAATTTAATTTTTTTTCAGGTGATTCTAAGTATGACTGGCTATGTAAAGAAGAATTTATTGAACTCAAAGACATATTCTCTGTGAAACTGAAACGGCGTTGTTCTGTTAAACAGCAGAGAAGTGGTACTTTATTAGGTATCACACTCTTCATTTGCTTGAAAAAGCAGCAAAATAAACTAAAGAATTCTACACTTGATCTTATTAATTTAAGTGAAGACCACTGTGACATATGGTTTAGACAGTTCAAGAAAATATTGGCAGGTAAGTACTCCTTATGGGAATTTTTGAAATCAGCCCAGTTTCCTTGATATAGATGATTAATCTAGACATGTTTTGAATAAAAGCAACTTTTAATGATGTTGAGGTAGTTTCCTTCTGTTCCTAGTTTTTGTGTGTTTTTGTCATGAGAAAGTGTTGAAGTTTGTAAAATACTTTCTCTACATTAAGATTATCATATTTTCCCCTACATTCTGTTAATATGGTATCTTACATTAATTGATTTTCATATGTTTAACCACCCTTGCATTTCCAGGAATAACTCCCCCTCAGTGTACGAACTTTTAAAGATGCTATTGAATTTGGTTTGCTAATATTTTGTTGAGGATGTTTGCATCAATATTCATAAAGCATATTGTTCTGTAGTTTTTCTGTACTGTTTGACTTTGGCATCATGGAACGAGTTGAGAAGTAGCTCTTGAATCACCATTTTCATGAAGAAGCTTAAAAAATATGAAATAAAATTCTTAAATAATTTAGCTCACTTGAGAGTTGTTTTTAGAAGCATATTTATTTTTCTATTAATGTTTCTTTTGACCTTATGTAAGAATGTATTTTCCTTCCACTCACACATTGATGGCAAGTATGTATATGTGCTCTGTGGCCTAAAAACAAGAAGTTTTTGAATAATCATAAGAGGCCATGCTTTATGCTCTGGTAATTGAGAATTACCTATTTCACAATAGTTTTTTATAAAGGTTAGTATCCAGAGAAAAGAGAACATGTTCATTAGAATATATCTGCTAATGAATTCAGTGTACCTGAAATTTCTAAATGACATTTTCATATTTTGCATACTAAATAAAATTCCTAAGTACAAATATGCAATTCATAAGTACAAATATGATGCAATTTGGATTTCTAGAAGTTATCAGGTTAAAATATCTGTTTTAGGATTGATTTCCTTTTGTCGTAGGTTTGTGAATCTTGCTTGTTTTTCCTTTAACTCATTTCTTTTTGTTTGCCACGTTGATCAGAGTAGAGGCAGCTTGTGTAGTTGATGGCATAGTTTAGGGTTAGATGGCACAGGACAGAAATGGGTGCTGGACAAAGAGCAGTCACAGAGCAATATTAGAAATTTCCAGTTTCAGCATCATTGATAAGGAAAACCATGAGGACCCAAGTTGATCAAAGGCAGCCAGCCAATAAAGTTATGCTGCTGGGAGATGAGCTGAGGTGACATTACATTAAAATTGGAAGACCCTCTTACTAAGTGGCTTGATGCTTCCCTGTTAGCCCCTTTGGGACTTCCAAAAAGACTTGATTCTTGCAGAGGCAAGAACCCACAGAGGCCATAGTGTAGTTTATCTTTCTGAAAACATAGAAAATATGTATAATTAAATGAAAGCACTTTAATAGTGAGTCTTTTACAGTGTTATTTCAAATATATGTCAAGTGATTTAAAAAGTAAAAATAAAAATGAAAATAATTTCAATGGAATTAAATTAACATGACCAGGTATTCATGAGACTTGCATGATCTTGTCATACAATAAGGATATGCCATTTAATTAGGGGCATCAAAGCTCTTTCTTGCCCTTAAAGTCCAAAGAACTCTTCTCCTATGGGGCTTATGAAGGGCTAGGCTGAGGCAACTTCAATATATCTCGGCAATAAAACCAGTAGAAAGTAAGATGCAGAGGACATCACAACAAAGCTCAATCCAGTAAAAGCAATTTTACAGGAGTAGAGGGATTTGCCAAAAACAAAAACAACAACAAAAAAACACTGTCCAAATATTCAGCTTAATGCGTGATGTTTTGGTTTGGTCTGGGGTTAAATTGTAGGCAAATTACAGAGATGAATAAACTACATATCCTTTGCTGTACCATCCTCTGGAAATGTTACTTTCTGAACCTTTGATTTTGATAAGAAAATGGAGGCACTCAGGAAGTCATTCTCTGGTATGGTCTTAGAGAACAGAGTGATTTTGCTGATTAAAAGCAAATAGATTGACTTTTTAAATCAACTCGTGCAAACAAACAGTTTTAAAATCCTCTAATGAAAGCGAAGGAACCTAACCAAGACTGATACATTACTGTTCCATCTCTTTACCAAAGTGGACTCAGGGAGTCCTATGGGAGATGCCAACTCCTTATCCTACTCCCTACAAAGACAGTTCTGGGCCATCTTCATCAGACACAAATGAATGGTTGAGGATCCAAAGCTCTCTACATTTTTTTTTTTTTTTTTTTTTTAGTGTCTCACTCTGTCTCCCTGACTGGAGTGCAGTGGCACGATCTTGGCTCACTGCAACCTCTGCCTCCTGGGTTTGAGCAATTCTCCCTGCCTCAGCCTTCCAAGTAGCTGAGATTACAGGCACCTGCCACCACACCTGGGTAATTTTTGTATTACTTAGAGATGGGTTTTCATCATGTTGGGCAGGCTGGTCTTAAACTCCTGACCTCAAGTGATTCCCCCTCTTTGACTTCCCAAAGTGCTGGGACTACAGATGTGAGGCATTGTGCCTGGCTGGCACTTCTCTTTTAAAATTAGTATCTCAAGAAGTTTTTTCTTTAAGAAATTTCTTTCACTTTCAGGTCCATGTAATTCTGATATTCATTGAAGTGCCTATCCCAGGGGTTTTGGTTGTTTTGTTTCGATTTTCATGTTTCAAATTTTTTTTTAAAATTTCTGCATTAATTTTGTTAATCCAAAATGCAGGTGCATGTTGTTGTTTCCATATGTTTGTGTGGTTTTGAGAATTCCTCTTGTTCTTGATTTCTAATTTTATTTCACTATGACCTGAGAAGATGCTTGATATGATTTTGATTTTTTTTTATCGTAATGAGATGTGACTTATGACTGTGGTCAAGTTAGAGGAATGTTCCAGGTACAGATGTGAAAATTGTATATTCTGTGTTGTTGAGTGGAATATTCTGTAGATGTCTGTTAGGTCCATTTGGTCAAGAGTCTGACTTAAGTCCAGAGTATACCTTTGTTAGTTTTCTGCCTTGGTGATCTGTCTGGTGCTGTCAGTGGGGTGTTGAAGTCCCCCATTATTATTGTATAACCATCTTTTTTTCTTAGGTCTAGTAGTATTTGTTTTATGAACTTGGGTGCTCCGACATTGAGTGCACATTTATTTAGAATAGTTAATCTTCTGGTTGAATGAAACCCTTTATCATTATTTAATGCCTTCCTTTGTCTCTTTTTACTTTTCTTGGTTTAATGTCTGCTTCTCCTCATACAAGAATAGCAATATCTGCTTTTTTTTTTAATTTGCCATGTGCATGCTAGATCTTTCTCTATTCCTTTCCTTTGAGCCTGTGGTTGTCATTACATGTGAGATGGGTTTCTTGACTTCAGCAGGTGTCCTTTAAGTGAAGCATTTAGGCCATTTATGTTCTAGGTTAACATTGATATTTGAGGTTTTGTTTCTATAAATTTGATATTTGAGCATTGTTCGGTAGTTGTTTTCTAGTCTCAATTGTGTAATTGCTCTATAAGATCTCTGAGCTTTATACTTTTGTGTGCTTATATGATAGCAAGTATTATTCTTTTGTTTCTGTGTTTAGAATTCCTTTGAGTATTTCTTGTATGGCAGGTCTGGTGGTGACAAATTCTCTTAGTGTTTACTTGCCTGGGAAAGACTTTACTTCTCTTCCATTTATGAAGCTTAGTTTGGCAAAATATGAAATTCTTGGCTGGCATTTTTATTTTCTTTAAGGGGACTAAACGTAGGCCCCTGATCTCTTCTTGCTTGTAAGGTTTCTGCTGACAAGTCCTCTATTAGTCTGATTGGATTTCCTTTATAGGTAATTTAGCCCTTTTCTCTAGATGCCTTTCAGATTGTTTTCTTTGGTGGTGGCCTTGCATAGTCTGATGAACTATATGCCATCTTGTATCTTGCAGGTGTTTTCTGAGTTTCTTATATTTGGATGTCAACCTCTCTAGCAAGCTTAGGGAAATTTATTGCTTCAAATATGTTTTCCAATTTGCTTACTTCTTTCTCTTCCCCATCAAGAATGACAATAAGTCTATAGGTTTTGTTGCTTTACATAATTCCATGTTTGTCAAAGGCTTTGTTCATTTTTCAGATTCTTTATTTTTGACTAACTTGGTTAATTTGAAAGGCTGGTCTTCAAGCTCTGAAATCTTGTCTTCCACTTGGTGTAGTCCATTATTAAAACTTTGTGTGTGTGTGTGTGTGTGTGTGTGTGTATGTGTGTTTGAGATGGAGTCTCGCTCTGTTGCCCAGGCTGGAGTACAGTGGAGATCTCAACTTACTATAACCTCTGCCTCCTGGGTTCAAGTGATTCTCCTGCCTCAGCCTCTGAGAACCTGGGATTACAGGTGCATGCCACCACACCTGGCTAATTTTTGTATTTTTAGTAGACACAGGGTTTTGCCTTACTAACAGAGCTGGTCTTGAACTCCTGACCTCAGGTGAACTGCCCACCTTGGCCTCCCAAAGTGCTACAATTACACGTGTGAGCCACGGCACCCAGCCTGCTTCCAAGTGTATTTTGATGTTCCCTTTAGTGAATTTTTCAATTCCAAAAGTTCTATTTGGTTTTATCTTAATATGGCTATCTCATGTTTCATATCCTGCATTGTTTTTCTGGTTTCTTTGAAATGGATTTTAAATTTCTCTTGGATCTCATTGAGTTTCCTTGCAATACATATTTTTGTTTCTTTAATCTGCCATTTCAAAGTTTTCAACGTGGTTAGGATCCATTGCTATAGAGCTGGTGCAATTCTTTGGAGGCATAAAGACATTATTTTTGTAGTGTTGGGGTTCTTGGGCTGATTCCTTTTTATTTGAAGGAGCTGCTGCTTCTTATTTTTGAATTTCCTATTGTTTGGGCAATACTTAAACATTTTTTTCCCCCCTGAGGGTATGACTGGTGTATGTTGTGTGTGATCATTTGATCATTTGACTTTGTTTCTGAGTGTTTTCAGGGGACCAAGACCCTGGATTCCTTAGGTGTAGTAGCTTTCTTAGATGCTGCTTGTTGTAGCAATGTATTGGATATATGAGCT